GCCAAGCACATACTGTTGTCGTTCTAGCAGCCATGTTGTTTCCTATGTGTGCGTGTGTGAGCAATATCCCAGTAGATTCAATGAGACCAAACGGGCCACACGTGCGCGCTTGTCGAACTGATCCAGCGATCATCGCGCACCCGCCAGCTCGGTCAAGTAATGTCGTGCGGGCCACACGTGCTCGTCCCTGCTGGACCACGACGCGGGCGACGACGGTCACGACTGGAGGAAACCACAGCCGAAATACGTAGGTCGGGAATTGTTGTTGACACGTCACCTTCAGCATGGCATGCGCTCTGTCTTTGGAGTCCGAACAGCGAGACATTCGCGAACCCGTTCCTCTGAGCCCTGGGGGTGCCATTATTGATCTATTAGCACTCGGGAGGAAGGGCTTGCGCAAAACCGCATCGCACAGTCGAAAATGAAGAGCGAGAGGTCGACGAGGCGGTGGCGCCTGAACAGCTCCTGGTGTCTGAAAGCTCCTCGAAGCAACAGGCGACCGCTGGGCGCACTATTAGCTACTAACGGCGGGTCGTTGTCAAACCAAGATTTGGGTCCCCCTAGGGCGCAAACCCAGCCATGGTGAGTACTCCACTGGGCATGTAATGGGTCGAGAATCCATTGGATGACAAGGAGAAAGATGACGACGACGACGATGACGACGACCACGACGACGACGACGACGACGACGACGACGACGACGCGCCGCAGCGGGATGTGGGCGCGTGCGTGCCCGCGCGCTCCAGGCCCGCATGCCCTGGACCAGCGGCCCGGCGCCCTTGGGGGGGGAGGGAGGACGAGGAGGGAGGGGGGAATGGGGAGGGGGGGGCAATGGGGAGGGGGAGGATGCGGCGAGGAGGGATGGAGTGAGGAGGACGAAGAGTGAGGAGGATGAGGAGTGAGAATGGCGAGGAGGATGAGGAGTGAGGAGGATGAAGAGTGAACGGGGCAATGGGGAGGGCGAGGATGAGGAGTGAGGAGGATGAGGAGGAGGAGGAGGAGGACGTTTACACTCGCTTCGGGGTGACACTACGCAGGGCGAGGTGGTTTAGCCAGCAACCGACCTTCGGGCCATGCCCGAAGCGTTGTCGATGCAGAAGCGGCTCCTCGGGGCCCAACCCCAGAGAAGGAGAGGAGGAGGAGGAAGAGGAATGGGGGACAAGGAGAGAGAAGGGAATGCTGGAAATACTGGGACGTATGTCAGGTCTGTGCCTAACCTGTCCCGCAGCAGTAGTACGGCTGTGGCTCAAGCCTCAAGCTTGATGTTTTTGGTCCCCCAGCACCGGGCCAACCAAGAAAACACGAAAACCTTGAACCTTTAGCCCTGCACATTGAGCCATCTTGGCTCATCCGTCTTCTAGCTCTTGGTTGAGCTCAAACACGTTAGAAAACGGGAGCAGGTCACCTATGCTGACCGAGCAACCCCGTCTATAGTTTAGGAAGTTCCCTTTGCCGGCGCGACTCCACTTGGCCTCCGCCCCGTCGGTTTCCTGGAGGGGAGCGCATTGGTTATCTGAGCCCTGCATTCTGGGCTGCGAGTCGGACGCAGGCTCGGAACGCTGGCTGGGACAGTCGGGACCCACGTGGTCTCGCTCGGGGTCGATTTAGCTCCTGGGGTGAAACGCAGCACCAAACAAGCTCTTGGTAAACGCAAGGCCCGAGTTGCGGGCATGATTCACAGACACCGAAGGCTCCAGCAGTATAGGAAAGCTCTTCCGAGGGACAAATACAGAATCGGGAAGATTTACACCGCTGGTGTTAAGCCCGCGGTCAGTTTTGGAGATACGGTGACTGGCATGTCCGACGTTGAACTTAAGCGTGCGCGAGGGGTGATGCTTTCCTATCAGGCGCCGTGTCATGGAGGGGTTTCCCTCACTGCCAAGACAGCTCTGTTAGGCGATCCGATGTGGAGGAGCATGGTTGCTCCTGCGCTCGCTTGGGCAGCCGCTGTGTGGAGCACCACGACGGCGCCGTGCACGGCCAGTTTCACGCTGCCCCAGCTTCGCAGCATGTGGGACTCCATCTCCCAGGAAGGAATCGAGGGGTGGAAATGGGGGAAGACGAGGGGTCCTATCAGTCGGATGTTTTTGTCGCTTTTTCGCATCGGGTGGAAATCGACTTCGTTTTTGATTTGGGTCGACGATAGGAGAGTCGAGTTGAGTCTGCTTTACAACTCCCCTGCCATGATCTCCGCGCTTTTAAAAGAAGGGGTGCAACGCCACCACGAGCGGGTCCTGGGACAGAAGCTCGGATGGCCTGTAGGAGATCGTGTCTGCGTCGAGCCGCTGCGACGTATCACTCAGCCTAGACTCCGAGGCATAGGACTGAATGCCCAAGGCAAGTACTTGGTCAAAACGGTCTTTTGCGACGGACTCTGGACCGAGGATCGGGCGCGGCAGGCTGGTTATCATTCGACAGGTTGCTGCCCGCTGTGCGGGGAGCCAGATTCTGTTGCCCATAGGATTTACTGTTGTGCCAGCCCCGAGGTTTCGGCAGCTAGGACTAGTACGGGAGTGGAGGACAGCTTCATTCAGAGGGCGAGGGAAGGGGAGCAGAGCTTCTACTCTGGTCTAAAGTTTGGCAACCCTGTCAAAGACATGCCGCCTTTGTCCGACCAGCACGAGCGCTACTTGTATAGCGCCGAGGGTCAGCGAATGGATTGGGCGGACTTCGACACTACCGATTTGAATGTGGCGGGGGACGGGTCGTGTTTCCCGCGCCAGATTCGAGATCTATCACGAGCAGCGTTTTCATGGGTGTTTATGGGAAGGGACGGAGAGCAGGTAGCAATTGCAAGATGCCCCGTTTGGCCGAGCCTTCCTCAGACGAGCCAGGCAGCATAACAACTTCAGCTGGCCTTGCTCCCGATTTTCGTGCCCAAGTATGGGCAAGCCTGCTACAGTGATTGTATGAATGCCGTCAAGCTTCACAATGCCAGCACGGTTTCTCAGTTGAGTCATAAACACAAGTATGCTGGACTCAGGCGCGGAGCTCTGCAGCACATGGAACGAGATGCGTATGCCCCAGCCGTATGGACCCCAGCACACAGGGACTCAGCCACGATAGATATGCTAGGAGAGCCTCAGCGGTCCATAGGTCGTGCCAACAGGCGCGCGGATCACGAAGCCAAGCAAGCGATTTTGTTGCACCCGCAAGCTAGCCAAAACGAGTGGGACGATGTGAAGAGCTCGATCGAGAGAGTCGAAACGGTGGCGCGGATTTTGGCGAATGTTCTGCCGCTTTTTCCCAGGGCCACCCACACTCGGCCACCTCGACGGGCCAAGCAGCAGAAAGTGTTTAAGCGTGCCGAGGGTTGGCACACTTGGGACACCTGGCTTTGGGGCCATCGGTGTTCGAGTTGCCTCAGATTTTATGCTGGCGCCCTGGAAGACAGACCGACAGTGGGCTGCGAGGGATTTCCTAAGATGGTCGAAGAACTACTGACCATCTCGCCAGAACATGGCCACGTCCTGGCTAGCACGCAAGTTGGGGACGAACAAAGTCCGTTGTTTTTCTGCATAAGCTGTGGCTACTACGCCCAGCACCGCCTGCACATGCTCTTGTCACGTTGTCTCAGGCCCCTAAGAGACAGCGACAGGAGCAGCGCAGGCACTACTGCGCTTCGAAGGTTCAGGAGAGGCCTGCACCCGAAGCGCGATGTACCAGTCTCTTGTGCAGAGCTCGAAGCCCCGCTCACGAGGGTTGAGGCGCGAGCACATGTCGTAGCGTCCCGACCCCAGCAGACGCCAGCGTGGGCGTCGCCCCTTTCAAGCCTGGATGCCCTCCGTGCCCGTGTTGCGGCCAAGGAGGCTCGTGCGCAGGGCTGAGAGGGGTGGAGGTGAGGTCCAAGGTGACCAAAAACAAAAAAACTCCTCCTCCTCCTCCTCCTCCTCCTCCTCCCTCCTCGCGGCCATCCCCTCTGCCCATGGCCGCGGGGGGGGGGGCAGAGGCCCGCAGCGGCCCGCCGCTCCTCCGAGGCCCCTCCCAGCTCCTAAATTAGTCATCAACCTCGCCCTTCTCCTGGTAGGATCCTCCAGAGAAATTCCTTTCTCTCGGCTCCTGCTCCGCGGTGCGCCGCTCGCGTGCCCCATCCCGCCCCCATCGTTCGCCCCCCTGTTCTATCCTGCGCCGCTCCCTGCCGCCCTTCCCCGTCATTCGGTTGGCCCCGGAGGTGGCCCTCGAGGTTTTGGTATCAGACTTCCCCTCCTCTCTTCTTCGTCGTCCCTCCCCTGCATGACAGTACAGACCGTTGCGGCGCATGCACAAAAACACACACACAAGCATATCAAACATAACACAACACAAACACAAAACAACACAGAAACACACAAAACAGTACCAGACGGAACACAGATTTATAAACACATGTGGTGTATATATAGACAATATAATAAAACGCGCGCGCACAAACATGATTGCATTATGGCTCTGACTTTGCACACAAGGTTGGCGCCCACGACCGCGGATGGACGCGCGACCTGCTGGCGCGTCTCGCGCAGAACCTCCCAGCCGATCAGCTCGTCTTCCGCGGCCTCGCCCTTGCGTCGCCCGAGAAGCTCTAGAGGGAGATGAGCGCGGCCCTGGGTTTTCCGACGGTGGCTCAGGTCCGAACCACGTTTTCCTGGTCCGCGAGGTGGCGCTGGAGGACATCCAGCAGCGCGGGAGGTGAGTGTCGCCCGAGAGTTGCCGCATCTACACCAAACCAGCCAGACCCGTCCGCTCGCTCGGCCGCGTCTCGGACGACCACCTCCGGCAGGCAAGGCGGCTGCGAGAGCAGCTCCCGGCGCGCGCGCTTGCTGTGGTCAGTGAGGCCCTCGCTGGAGGTCGGCGTGCCGGGAACCTTGGCAATTCAGTTTCTCGCCAGATCTGACGGCACCATCGGCTCCTGCATCCTTCGGGGAGCGACCCCTCAGGCACGCCTCGCGGCGTCCGCGAGCCAGCCCAGCAAGTAGCGCAGACTAAAATTTAAGACCCATCCGGCGTATAGCCATCGTTGTCGTTTGGTCTGGATCTTGTTTTTGGGCCGAACCCTCTTTGATTCATCTGGGGATGTAAGAAATGCCTGCAGAGTATATCCCCCATCCTTGTGCTTCTGTAGTCCTTTTCTCGCCCCTCTCCCCCCTTTCCCGTCCATTCCTTCTCCTTCCTCTCGCTTGACCACGGAAAATCACCTCAATAGGAACCGCCTTGTCCTGATTATTCAGAGTCTCGACGGCGTTGCGCCACTGACCTACACTAGCCTCCTGTGCGCTGCTGGGGCCCAGTAAATCAGCAGTTCAGTCTCTCGCCGGATTTGATGGCACCATCGGGCCCGACATCCTTCGGAGAGCGACCCCTCAGGCACTCCTCGCGGCGTCAGCGAGCCGGCCCGGCGCGTGGCGCACAATGAAACTGAAGACCCATCCGACGTCTAGCCATCGTCGTCGTTTGGTCTGGATTTTGCTTTTGGCCCGAAGCACGTTTCATCTGGGGATGTGTATATGTATACATGTATCGACGTATAGGTAGGTCGAGATATATATGTATATATGTATGTATATATATACATACCTACATACATACATCTTTTCAGTTGTATATATACATATATATATATATATATATACATATATACAAATATACATATATATATATACATACATATCCATTTATGTATTGTGTACACATACGCATACATATGTATATGTATATATAAATAAAAATGCGTATGTCCGAATTGGAATGGCCTCCGGCCAATGCCGCCGATCGGGGGGGCGCTGGATGTTTGTGAAACACAGGAATGGCGGCGTTGTTTTTGTGTGCCGTTCAGTTTTGTCCGTCCCTTTCTGTCCCCCTCTGCCGTAAACGTCGCGCACTCCCTCTTCCTTTTCCACTCCAGCACGGCCTTTCGTGGGAGGGTTTTTGAACGCTTTTTGGAGGCAGTTTTGTAGCCCTATAGGACGCAGCTTTGAGGCCTTTGGGGACTTCTTCCCTTTCGGGACATCGAGGGGGTAGATTGGGGCGGAAGGCAGGAATTATCGGTTCGGGCTTCCCCTCTTGGGCCTGTCTTGGCGTTGTTTGGGGGTTTTGTTGGGCCGCCTTGGGGGCGCCGCCTTGGGGGCGCCTGGGCGGTGTCGGGACTCTGTTGGGGCGTCCTTGGGCGGTGTTCGGGGGTCCGCGGGACCGTCTTGGGAACGATTGGAGCTTCTTGGACGTCGTGAAAGCCGAGAAGTCGGACATGCTAGAAACGTAGGTTTGCCTAAAGACATTGATTGGTTGTTGCCTTTTGGCGCTCTCTTGGGTGTGCTCTTGGAGGCCTCTTGGGATGTCTTGGGAGTTTTCGCGGCCGACGGGAGGCTATCTTGGGCGTGTGGGCCCGATCGTTCAGCAATTGTGTAGGGCCTAAGAGGTCTTGAGCTGTACATGTTAACGTGTCCGAGGCCTTCCAAGAAAGCGGAGCAAAACGGAACGCATGCGCACCAGAGGGGGCCCCCCCGCGTTCCCGCCCCGGCAAAGCCCCCCCGCCCCCCTCCCTTTTTGAACCTCACACGCCGCATCGGTGGATATAGACGTGTACATATTTGTACATAAGCTGATACACATAAACATGGATCGATACCTCACTATATGTTTATCGGCCGTAATACCTTTCCATTTGTCGATCGACGGGACAACCTTGGAACAACCCAGGACAATCCGGGGAGAACTGCGGGACAACGCGCGGACAATTTCGGTGCAACAACGGGCGATGTTGGGCCATCCATGTGGCAACCATCCCTTTACAACGGGACAACCAAGGGACAACACAAGACAAAACCCGGGACATCCACCGAACAACCACGGAACACCCGCGGTACATAACGACCTAAGTTGTTTCATTCGGATTCACCACTAGCATTCGACCAGCGTCACTCTGAATACGTTTCTCGGTCTTACAATTCATGTATATGTCGCATCTACCGGTGTCATTATCAATTTTTGTTCGGTCTCAGTATATATATATATATCGGTCTCGTGTCGTGTATAGCCTGAACCCCGGGTAAAGGGACACGGTTCGTAGTAGGGCCCCGGAGCCCCTAAATTATCCAGAATCGCTCAACCAGGCCTGCCGTAGTTGGTGTATTTCGAGTGACGGCAGTTCCGGTTAGTGGAACTGGGCGGGGGGGCGTCCCCCGGTACACATCACTAAACCATGCCCCACTCAACCCAGTTTTGCCAACGCCCGATCATGACTATCTACCAATGTTTCGATCAACCTATGTGTCGATCTGGCTTTTTACATTTCGGCCCTTCTGTCTATCGATCTGCCGGCGCGAAAACAGCAAGACTATCACGGGATGGCCACGGGACAACTACGGGGTAACCGCAGGACGACCACGGGACAACCAGGGGACAACCACGGAACAGCCATGGGACCTTCGCGGACATCCGCGGGACAACCAAAGGACAACCACAGGGCCATGGCGGCAGGGACAACCATGGGCCAATTACGGGACAACCACGGGACAACCACGGGCACGCCACGGGACAACCACAGGACAATCACGGGACAAAGGTTGCAATTTTCCCGCCCCCTGAAGCACCACAGCACCACACCCATAGTCCATGGGTGGAAGGTACCACAAGACTACGCCACACCCACAGCACCGTATGACCCCCACATGGGGAGTATCGGCGAGAAGGGGGATGGAGGGCTGATCCCACTAGCATTGGGGGGCGACCCTGGATCTCCTACACCTTTCAATGGAGGAAGAGCATGAAGAGGCGGCGGAGGAGGACGAGCAGGAGGAGGAGAAGGAGGAGGAGGAGAGAGGAAGGCTCGCAGAAGGAAGAGTACGGTGACGGAGCACCTTCCCACTCAGCATCTTAGGACCTCCGCATGGGAGTAGCAGGGGGAGGATGCGGGGAAGGGGGGAGGAGGACGAGGAGGAGGAGGAGAAGGAGGAACATGAGCAGGTGGGAGTATGAGGAGGATCAACTTGAGCAGGCCCAGGAGTGAACCATACATGCCTTCGCAGCTCTTTTGAAGGAGAGGGAAGTAGAAGCAAGGGGATGCGACGACGTCAGGAGTCAATCAGAACGGCGTTCGCGCATCTTTCACTCTGGGAGCCTCTTGAAGCCATCCCGCGGCCCCTTTAGGGCAATTGTCGAAAATTTCCAGGGCCCCCGTTGGGTCATCTTGATTTTGGGCCGTCTCGGAGCCCTGATGGGCCCCTCTTGTGGCTCTACGGTGATCTTGGAGGTATCCTGAGGCCTCAGACACCACGTGCAAGTCAAATTCCCCAAAGTGTGCTCGCACGTGGGGCATTTCGATTCGCTTCCTTTCAGCTCGCTTCTAGGCAAACTAGCCTCCGGTGCCGCCCCGGCGGGCTTGTAGCCGCCTGGCGCCGCCCGTCGCCGCCGCCGTCGCCGCCGGTCATTGGTCGACTCCACGTAAGAGTGACCTTTCGCCGGAGGGACCTTCGGTGCGGGCCCAAAGGGCTCCCCCGATCGCTGAGCGCGAAGCGTCAGCAGCGGCTTGCGCGCCCAGCTTTGGCCACCCCGCGTCCCCCGTTCAGCCGCGCACCAAAGGTCACTCTTGCCCAGGGTCACTCTTACGTGTACAGTAGAGACCCATGCCAAGAAACACCCTGCTTGCCTCCGTGGTGCCCTGGGTTTCTTGGGTTTCGATGGTTTTTGCGATGGACAGCGCGACGTTCCCACAACAAAAATCAATGGACGTCCTGGGGTTTCAGGGTTGGGTTTCTTGTGACAGGTTTCTTGTGGACTAGCCTCCACTGTAGCCGAAGTGGGCCCCGGGGCCACCCGAGCGAGCTCGTTGCCGCCCGTCGCCGCACTCGCCGCGGGGCCCGGATGCCGGTGTCTGGCCGGCTCGTGGCCGCCCTGTCGCCGCCGTGCGTCGCCACGAATTTTTGCACTGCCATCGCATGGCGTTGCTCTGCATTGGCTTTGCCCTGTGTGGCATTGTGTTGCTTTGCATTCGTTGCCATTCCTTTGCACTGCTTTGCATCGCGCTGCTTTGCACTTCCCTGCATGGCAATCGCATTGCACTCGCATTGCAGTCGCATGGCACTGCGTTGAGTTGATTTGCCATTGCATTGCGCTGCCTTGTTTTGCATCGGTTCGCATTGCCGTGCTTTTCTCTGAACTGCGTCGCATTGCACTGCGTGGCATTTCATAGTTTGCACTGCTTTGCATTGCTTTGCACACTTTTGCATTGATCTGCATTGCGTAGCATCGCGTCGCATTGTGTCGCATTGAGCCGCATTGCGTCGTGTTGTGTCACATTGCGTCGCATTGCGTTCCATCGCGTTGCATCGTTTTGCGTCGCTTTTCATCGCTATTACTTTGCATTGCGTTGCAGTGCTCTGCATTCCTTTGCATGGCTTTGCATTGCGTTGCATTGCATCGCTTTGCATTGCTTTGCTGCTTTGCATCGCATTGCGTTACATTGCCTTGCATTGCGCTACACCAAATGGATTGCAGCACCTAGATGGTACCACAGTGTTCGCACCACCTAGATGGCACCGTATCGATTGCAAGACATCGTTCCTTCGGGTCCCCATTGGCTAGCATGGCAAGGAGGTAACTGGCATTGAGTAATCCATGCGTTTGAAGGATTTGGGCTCCAAGGGGGCTTCTTGAGAAGCTCCGCGGCCACTTGGAGCCGCCTTGGGGCGGTTTGTGGGCCTATTGCAGGTATGATTGAAGCTACCTTGAGTCATCTTGCGCTCTCTTGTGCTATCTTGGAGGTCATCTTGGGCTACCTTGGGGGCCATCTTGGACGCTCCAACCCCTGGCCTCATCCCCCTTCCAGACCCAGGGGAGGGGGCAGGGGGAGGGGTAACCCCTCGACCCCCACCCCCCTTCAGACACAGAGGAGGGGGCAGGGGGAGGTGTCAAGTTCCTGACGGGTACTTCCGTAGCCATGTTGACTCACTATTGATTCGAGGTTCCGAGCTGGTCTGCGCTTTTCGGGGGATTAGTCAACCCCGCGATGAAGCAGGGGCGATGTGCAGATGGACTCTGCCTTCCTTCAGCTGCCTCCTGTCCTACGCCTTTGCTTCGGCAGGGCACTCGACTGTCCGAGGGAGCGTGCCCCGCGGCAGCGACGCAGCAGGTGGCTGTGTGGTCGTGCCGCGTGCGGCTGACCTCCAAGCGGGCACCACTGGGGCCCTGCGAGCGAACGATTGCGGCGAAACGTCATGGCTCAGGAGGGAAAGAAACACACAGACACAATGCATCGTCGATTCCCCAGAAAATATACGAAAATATAGGAAGTGGGGGGAGACAAACACCCAGAAAATATGGTAAAATATAAGGACATCTGGGGATTTGGGTTATTTGTGTGTATTTATTTGTGTGTCCCAGGGCCTCTTCAATGGCCAGGCAGGGACCACAACCTGGTTTGCGGTGAGTGCAAAGTGCTTGCCGATCGATTCGGCTCCTTCTACAAGGCGTGCGCGGGTCATTGTGCCTCTATATCGGGCGGCGGTGCGCAGGTGCCTGGGAGGAGCAGCTTGACGACTGCGCAGCACAGCATGGTCTGACATGTGATGAGAGCACCGCTTCCAGCGATGCAATCTGCGAATGTGGCGCAGAAACCGCAGAGGTTGGCGGCACTTTCTATGGCGAGTTCCCAGAGCTGGCAGTAGAGGAGGGCAACACGGTCGGTGAGCAGTTGAGTTCCGCGTCCTTGACGGAGTGCGAGGCGGCATGCGATAGCAATTCGGTCTGCAGCAGTTTCTCCTTGTGCCCAGTGGGGTTGCTGGATAAAGGACCAGCGCTTCTCTGGTTCAGAGGGCACCAAGTCACACTACGGTAATGGAGGACGATCAATCGAGAGGAAGTATGTTGCCAAACAATTTCCAGATGACTTATCACCACCCACCACACCACCCCAACCCAACCCGAAGGCCTCAATTTGCCCTGCATTTCCAGTTGGGGGGGAGTCGGGGAACATCGAGAAAACACATATGGAACCCGTACCCCCCCCAGGTAACCCTGGGTACGGAGGGCTCGATAAGATCTTCGTTTCCTCTGCGCACTAGACGTCGTCGAACGGTGCAGACCATGGGACTGGAGGCAGCGACCACCCTGCGATCGCCGTTGTTGACGTTCAAGACACGAATCAAACTTGGCTTCATGAATTTGCTGGCCGTCCTGCAATCACTCAAGCTCAGTGCGACGACTATCCATGAAGTAGTAGTTCGGCATCACGTTTCTCTGTCGTCACAGTCCCGCCACACACCATCAGCCATGTCTTAGTTGTGCGATCACCCGTTTCCAGAACGCGGCCGAGGTCTTTACAGGCAGCCGCCGGCTTCCCTTGCCTGCTGCGTGGGGAGTGCTGCTGCTCCGTGCAGGGCGCAGCAGCGGCCTCAGCCGCGCAAGCGGAGCGTTCCCGCTCGGCCATTCCGTGATGGAGGTGGCCGATGCTACAGAGCATGTGGGCATTTGCAGTGTTGTGCACAGCGCCCAGGCGACCGACTGCAAGTGGTCACATGCGCTCACGCCGCGAACGCAGGCAAAGGGAACAACACAATAGGTTCCTAACGGGTACTCCACAAGCTGTCCCATTCAACCCCACCCACCCTCCCCACATATAAGCAGCACTTGATAGATTCAGCATGGGTAGAGGTCGCCATCGGATGGACAGCCATCGCGAACCAATCCAAACGCCATCGACGATCGAGAGGTGCGAAAACGCGTTCCAGGCGTGCCAGGTGGGGGCCCAAGCGTACAAGGTGCTCCTGGTGCGGCATATGCGCTACGTGCTCTAACTGTGCCACGTGCCCCAGCCGCGCGGGGTGCGCAGGGCGCGCTGGGGGCGACGGGTGTTCTCTGGCGCACGTGACAGCGCACATTGGGCAACATGTCGACACCTCTCTGCCACAAGGTGGCGGCGCGGTGCCCAGTATTGTCTGTGTTGTGTGTGCGTATGCTCCCGCGGTCCGGTTGCAGTGGCGTGTGGTACGGGTGGTGGGCGAGCGCACAGCGGACAAATATGCTCACACTCTGCCGCCCTTATCACTCGCTAAAACGGAGTGGCCGCGGGGTGGGGTGCCCGCTCATGCTCTGGATGTTTCCGCCACGTGCGTTTTGTGTTGCTTGGTGGCAGGGATGGCGGGGGGTGGGGCTCATTTGCCCTGGCTGGCGGCTGGTCGAGTGGGGGAGGAGGGTGTTCAGCAATGAGGGGCAGAGAATGAAGCAAGGTGAAACATGTGGATGGAAGAAGACCCGATCTGAACGACCTGCGCCCAGAGGGCTGGCGGGACTTCCTGTTTTCAACTCGGTGCAAACTGTTCACAGTCTTTGATCGTGATACGCACGCAGGGGCTAACTCACCGGCGCTGGTCCAATGCGCCTAGGTGTTTGTCCCACGATCGTGTCCGATTTGGGAAGCTGGCGGGTCGCGCCCACCCCTCGGCGCCGCGCTCGGGGGGGTGGAGAAGGCATGGGGGGCGGGCCCTCTGAGAAGGCTCAGACGGCCTCCCGCCTGCTGAGGAGCCTTCTGAGCTTTCTCACGAGACGCGGGCGGCTTCTCCGCAGGCGCGCGAGGGCTTCTGCGAAGCCCTGCCCCCCGCCGGCGCGCCGCCGAGCCTCTCGTCGGGAAGGTGACGTGCCCCGCCCTCCCGCCAGACGCGGGCGCCCCCGAGGACGTACTACGAGGGCATGGCCGAGGAGGCGGAGCGCAAGGGGCGGCCGCCCCTGCCGAGCATCTTCGCGCCGGGGTGCGCTCGCGGCCCCACCCGCCGCCCTCCCAGGGCTGTCAGCCAGCGGAGAGGGACGAGCATGAGCACGAGCGCTACGGGAGCTCCAGTCGATGAGCAGGCAGGCTTGCACCGACGCTTATTGCTAAAGTCAGCGCTGCACGACTCTGAGCAGCAGAGGCTACAACACGGGAGCTCCAGCGTGGTGAAGAGAGGCGAGGTCGGAAGGATGGGGGTGCGACGCCCCATCCGCGATCCCAGGCCCCCCCGGAGGGGTTCGAGTAGCTCTTGGCAGCGCTCGGGCGCGTGCATGTTCTGCCTCGGCGAGGACCATCGGGGAATCTCGTGGATCCTCTTGCGAAACGTATACGCACGAAGCAGGCACATGCACGGGGAATGGACGTCCGAGCGATGGCAAGAGATGTGGTCGCAGGATCGCACCGCACGCTGATGCATCGGTGATGCGGCTCGATGGTGCCAGATTTCATCCGCGCCAGTGGTGCCGATGCATCGCTGATGCGGCGCGATCCTCCGGCCCCACCTACTCGGACCCCATATGCGTGGCCTTCACCTCTGCGATGTTTTCCTACGAAGGGCTCTGCCGCATGGGATTCGGGAAGCGGGGTCTGGGACACGCTGGAGGCTCCGTCACTGTACCGTCCTGGATTATCCTGGATTCGAGCAAAGTCTGAGGATTTGCTGCCGTTGTGGCGTCCTGCTGTTGTGTTGGCGAAGGCAACGACGACGAAGCCTTCGGTGACGGTGGCAACGATGATGACGAGCGGCCTGCAGATTGGTCTTCACGACGTGGAAGGTCGCGGTCACAAGCTGGACGTTGGATGAGAGGCAGAGGGAGGAGGAGGAGGAGGAGGAGGAGGAGGAGGAGGAGGAGGGGCAGGAAGGCTCGTTCGGCTCTCAGGCTCTGCAGGGTCTGAGGAACAACGACCTCATTGTTGTTCGCGATGCGACTCCCAGAGGCCCTGGTCTGCGGATGCCTCCGCATGGTTCCCCCATGGGGCTGGATGCCTCCAGAGCCCGCAGACGGGCCCAACATTTGAACTTACCCATGTCGACTTTTGACTATTCGTAAACCCTGGAGGCCCCCACCGCCCCCAGAGGGCCGGCGTGGGCCCTGCAAGGACTTCTGGAGGCGCCAGGGAGGCCACGAACGTTCAAATGACCTCCTTCGCGCTTCCCGCGGCTCTCCGCGGACGCAGAAGTGCACACACAATCGCGTGCTCCACCGTCGGGGGCGCCTGCCAAGGGCGGCTGGAATGTTTACAGCAACCCTGCGGTGCCACGTCAACCTGCCCAGCCGCCCTGGCACCGGCGCCCCCGCTCGCGGAGGAGCCCTCGGGGCTCAAGAGGCGGGGGTCAGTGTAGACGGGGGTCAGTCAGAGCGCCGTACCCCTTGCCATATCCTGCGGAGCCACGTTCGCATTGACCCAGGATTGGATGCAGGGTCCTGCAGGATGTTGCAGGATCCTGCAAAGCCCGACTGACCCAGGTCTGTACTGACCCAAGTCAGCAGATTCCCGCGTTGTTTTCGGTGCGCCAAGGTTCGTCGTCCGTTGTCGTCGTCACTGCTGCCGCCTCCAGCGTCGCCGCCGTCGCCGTCGATGTTTGTCGCTGCTCGCGAGGGCCTTTGGAACCGGAGGGAGGGGCCCAGAATGTCCACAAGCTTCGTTCGCCATCCTGCCGCCGCCGCCGCCCTTAAGCAGTGTCTCGCCTCTTCCCGCCCACTCCCGGCCATGGTATCTCCGCCAGCCCACCCTCCCACGTGGGCACAAGCCCCGCGAGACCCGCAGGATCAGGCACCCGTCCCCACCTGGTCGGGCAAGTCGGCCAGTGGGGCCACACGGCCACGGCCAATGGGGGCTGGGATCGCTTGCTCCTGCGCGCTGCTCGCGGTCCGCCCGCGCGCGCCCCCCCCCTCGCAGGCCTGGAGGTTGACACCACCACCAAGATCGTCGGTGTGCCTCCACCGAGGGAAGAACATCCCGATCTCGGTGATGGTGGTAATGATCTGGCTCCCTTGCGAGGTGGCCGAAGTATTACCACCAACACCGGAATCTAGGATCATCTTCCCCCTGTGGAGGCAACCCCCGTGTGTTGGTGTTGGTGCCCATTTCCAGGCCTCCAACCCCCGGAGCGGCTCCTCGGCCGCCGCCCAGACGGCCTCGCTCGCCCTCCTCGAGAGCTCGGCCGCCGCCGCCGCCGCCGCTCTTCGGCCGCTGCCTCGCGGATCCCGCGCGCGCGCCCCCAGGAGCGGCTCCTCGGCCTCCGCCCCGTCGGGGCTGCCCTTCAGGCCGCGGCCCCCCGAGCCCGCGCCCCGCCTCTGCCCGCCCCGGGCCCGGCGGACCCTGCGGCTCCTCTGCCGGCTCCCGGCCGAGCCGGCTCCCGGCCGAGCAGGCTCCTCTGCCTGCCCTCGGCGTGCACAGGATTGGGGGCGGAAAAGAGGGGGGTGATGGCTAGGAGGGGGTGGATGTCATGGCGGTGGGCCATGATATTTCCCCAGATTTCACGGCGCCTCTTCTTATTTCATTACGTCCCTGGCCCCCCCGCCTGGGCCACGCACATGCCGCCGGTCATGATTTGCACCCCCCTCTCTCTCTCTTGGACACCCCCCCTCTTGGCCGCTCCCTATCCGTGGCCTGGAGGGCTCTCGGCTTCCACAGAAGGCCACCGGGGGGCCCGCCCTCTAAGCATGCCCCTCCCCCCCTTGGCGGGCCCCGTCGACTGGGGCATTTTCCCGGGATCCTGTTGAGCAAGCATTCCAGGAGGGAGAAGAACACACAGACACAATGAATCGTCGATTTCCCAGAAAATAGGGGAAAGTATGGGAAGTGGGGGGAAGACAAAACAAAGACCCTGAACATATGGGAAATGTAGGGAATCATGTTATTTGTATGTGTGTGTATTGGTTTGTGTGTCCCAGGGCCCCTGCAAGGTTGTTTTTTTGGTTGGAGGAGGCACGGGTGTCCATACCGCTGCCTTTCCCTCCTTTTCCTCTTCGTGGACCTCCCGGGAGGCCCGCGTCGCCGCCGCTGGATTCGCCCCGAAGTCCTGGTCAGAGCGCACCCCAGGAGAGGTCCTGGGAGTGGCAGCGTCGGTGCCCTTTAGTTTCCCCATGTTAGGTTTGAAGGAAAGGCCCTCCCAGGGGGTCCTGGCGTCGCAGTCTTGTATCGGGGAAGCGTAAGAGTCGAGTACGCGGGAGCTCGGGTTCGCCTACGCTTCTGGACAAGACCGCCTGGGACTTGAACGGTCCAGTTTTCGTGAGATGTCTGCAGCGGAAGCTCGCGTCAGATTTTAGAGCGGGTCTCGCCATGTTCTTGACGGCCCCGTCAGGCCAACCCGAGTCCCCCGAACCCGAGTCTTACGCCTCCCCGAAAGGAAAGACCCTGGGGTCCTGACGTCGCAGTCCTGTGGCGTGCTTCTATCTCGATTGCGGCAGGTGCTCTCGCATGGCATGCCCCCATCGCCGCTCTCCGCCGCCACTCCCAGCAGCGCTGGGCCGAAGGGGCGCCCGCGTGAGTCCCTGCCTGCGTGAGGTCCAGATTTCCTTTCGGGCCTCGCCACGCCCCCCGCCCACCCCCGCCCACGTAAGTCGGGGGCGGAAAAGAGGGGGGTGATGGCTAGGGGGGGGTGGATATCATGGCGCGGGCCATGATATCTCCGCAGATTTCATGGCGCCTCTTCTTATTTCATTACGTCCCTGGCCCCCCCGCTGGGCCGCGCACATGCCGCCGGTCATGATTTGCACCCCCCCCTCTTGGACACCCCCCTCTTGGCCGCTCCCGACTTTCGGGCCTCGCCACGCCCCCGCCCACCCCCGCCCACGGAAGGGAACTTGCCAGCATCTAAGAACAGCTGCCCCTTGTCGCACCGACTGGCTTCGACCTGGTTCCGGCCCTGGGGCCGGGGCCAGCACACGTCGACCTGGCCCGAAACGTGCTGCAGAAACACGAGGTCAAGTCGGGCGTGTCCCTCTACAGGAAGAGTATCCAAAAATGGTGACACATTGCCTGGGGACGCTGTGTCTACTATTGTTGGTATCTGTTGGATGTTTGTCGAATCTATGTTTTCATATATCGGCCAAAATCCACCTGTAGGGGGACATGCCCGACCTAAGCACAGGGGCCCAGGGCTCCGATCCTACTTTCTCGCGCTGGTGCAAGTCTTGTGCCACGTCGGATCCCAGGGCTGCTCTCCGCCCGCCTATAGAGCGCCCTGCCTGCCGCGGCCGCCGGGCCCGGAGTGTCCCGCCGGTGGCTCTCTCTCCTCCTCCTCATCCTCCTCCTGCTGCTGCGCTCCCGCTGGCGGACGCACACGTCCGAAGTGTCACGCGCGCCGCGGCTGGCCGCGGCCGCGCCCGATCGCCGCCACCTCGTCGCCATCGATCGTTCACCTGTCGTCGTCATCATCATCATCATCATCATCATCATCATCATCATCATCATCATCATCATCATCATCATCATCATCATCATCGGGTCCTGGGCGGACGAGCGAGGGGCGACGCCGACTCGACCAGCCCCCCGCCAGGCTGCGGTCTGGACGGGGGGCTGACACACCGTCACAGCCCCCCTGGAGGCGTTGGGCCCATGGGGGGGCCCCGCTGCTCCTCCAGGGGGGCTGGCAGCTGCGCCGTCACTCAGACGGCACCGCTCTGCGTGCCCACGAGCAGTGCGAGCACGTGCACGCGATCGGACCACTCAAGATCGTGCATCTCGTCCATGCCGTAGGCGGCACTGGCGTGGTGCGAAGGCAATCACCATTCACACATCCATCGGAGAACTCACCGTATATCGGCCATGCCACGACCGCTGCTTTGAAAAAGAAAGAAATGCCAGCACGTCGGCATACATGATAAAGAAAGATCACAGCTCGCATCACTGTTGCCATCCGATTCTTCACACGACGACCTTCTCATATTCAGAGTCACTGCACCACTCTCGATCCTGCCACGTCATTGTTGGTATATGTCCAGTGATGGCACCAATGCGGCCATTCAAGATACGTTGAACAATACTGTGGTGCATTCCTTTCGCAATAATCTCATTGTAGTCGAACGAGTTCGCATGATAGTCCAGTCGTCGCATGCCAAGTTCTTGAACTTCGTCTATATCCAGCCAGTATCGCCCAGAATCATCATCATGAAAAACAACCATTCAAGTGCGACGTCCACCTGTAGTGCCACCCGTGGTATATGTATTTGCGCCCGGCTGTCACCAGGGACCGAAACACCATCGGAGGGGTCAATGATTCCACTTGAAAGCCACCACCACGGACATAACCAGGACCACGAACTGGCGGGCATAGAGCCTTAGCCTCCGAGAATCCAATCACCCGCAGACATGCAGCATCACGTGTATCCTCCAAGTCCAACTCATTTGCACGATCATCTGTCAGGGGTGTCCTCGTCAACCGCATGAAATCCAAGCACCTCGTCTCTCTATACTTCAGGTGGTACAGCAAGCGCTTCCGCGTGTGAAAGTTCGTATCACATCCATAGCAGTATCCAGATTCAGCATATAGCCGTGCATCCACAAGCCCACGATGTTCTTTAGTACGGTGGAGTCGCCACGCTCGTTGAGAGAACACTACCGCCCCACATCCATAGCATATATAGCCCTGCCGCTCGGCAGGTTCACCATCTTCGACTTGATTGAGCGCCACCAGTAAGTCCTTCCAAACCTGCCTTTGACAACAATCGTGATACATATCCGAATATCGCACCCAAGCGGTGGAACACATATTGAGATGTGTCTTCGGATCGTTCCGAACGAATGAAACCCACTGCCCAAGAGACCACTGAGCACCTTTGACACCCATTGAAGACAACCACTCCAAGTCCATACGTATCATACCAAGCCATCGATCGTCAACACCCTGTACCGCCAATAACACCCGTAGTGTAGCCGGCCCCTCATTCACAACCCTCTCAAAGTATCGTAACCTACGTTGTCGCTGAATCGCCGACAAGTGGGGGCGCCTCGATTGACAGAGAACCTGCATATCAGTAAAGTGTGCCTCTGATGCTGTGGCATGCGTCATACCAGCCGCCGCTCTCAACGCCTTCAGGTAAGTCGCATTGATGTGCCGTTCAGTCTGGTCCCCAATTTTCGCCCACACTTCCATATGCTGGAATAGCCTCGAGAATGCGAGAACATCAATGTAGCGAATATTCGATTGAAGTCGCATACCACGCCTCGGGAGTATAGCTCTTCGGATGGGCCCCATCGCATGTTCATGTTGTTGAACCCGCCTGTGAATTTCTGGCCGCATCGACGCATCAAAGGACACGATTGCTCCCATATGTTTGTATTGTCTCTCCACCGAAAACTGAAAACCATATTTCTCACTTTTAAGCTGCAACCCTGCCTCACCATATAGCACATAACGTAGGTGTTCTCGACCTTGTCCTTGAAGTTGCACCATCACGCCAGTCTTGCCCTTCCCATAATTCGGCTCCATACAATGAGAAACAAATACCATGTGAAGAATATCCATCGCCTTACCAGTATAACTCAAGACCTCCGGGTTGGGAACAATTATCGGCAACATAACATCATCCACGAAGGTCACATCCGTGATACGCTCTATCATATCCGTCGGCTTCAAGACAGCAGAATCTAGGACCTCCTCGCTACCAGAAGTAAGTACCAGTCCTTTGTCACGAATTTTTTCCTCCACCATCTGCAGCGGACGAGTAAAGACCACGTCGAAGAGGCAATCCGCAGTAGCACAGCCAGGACGCGCGCCTCGCGTGGGGACTGCCAGCTTGTCACACTGGCTTACCTCAGAACAACTCAAACGCTGCGATTCCGCCACCAATGCCGCCAAGCGAGGGTCAACCTGTTCAGTATCAAGCAACGCAGGCCTCGCCATAATCTCAGTGGCCAATGGAACGAGACAAATAGGGATGTCACTATCGTCCAACATCTTATTCGGTTCGTCCTCAAGATACTCAAGACGGCTAGCTGGTTGACGAGCCACTTTATGAAACGCAGCCTTCAAGTCCAGAAAGATATATACTGCCGACCGCCCAGTCCGAGTCGCAATGTCAGAAACCAGCCGTGCCTGGTGAGATGCCATCGTCGGTGAGCGCCCAGTCCGTCCACCAAGCTGCGAGTCCCGTAGCGTAAAGTCCACCGTGACAGACAAGCGCTCACGTAAGAAATGGTAGTGATGCTTAGCCACAATAATACAAATGGTCACTGCACGGTGTGCCTTATTCTGCGATGGGTCACCGCCGCTCTTGGCCACTTCACCCAGGCGGGAATGCTTGAACCCAATTGGTTCCAT